CGATTAGCTATGCGTGTACTCGTAGCCCTAGAGATTTTACAGACGAAACACATCACAAACGTTGTTCTCCCGGGATGACAATGACAGCGTTTACATGTAGCAAAATTGAGATTGTTAACTTTTGAAGTACTTGTGAAGTACTTCATAATCAAAAGAAGTTTTGGGCACTTCTCAAGACCCAGCCGGATGTCGCTCGATGTATGTGACAAATACGATGGATGTGTGACAGTTTTTAGAAAAGCTCCTTCAAGTTCTTTCACTTCTGTTCAGTTAGAATGAAAAGACGTGTTTTTTTTTCGGGATTTTAAAACTAAAAATAATATTTTCAAAAGCTAAATCAACTACAAGGCCGAACTTTTATAGTGGCATATATTTGAGGACCCCAGCAATCTTTCCTTTTCAACCACAGAGAAATTATAGCAATTGCACATATGGATAAGTGCATGTGTCTCATGCATGAGCAAGTAGGTTCGTATGAATTTTTTTTTTTGGCGGAAATCCGATTTCCGGCATTATGAGTTGTTCTTGTGTTTTGCTTGCAACTTTGCTTGGAACTCGACTCCCTTCGGGTATTTGAACGTCACATCACCTTGTAAGGCCAGTTTTCCTCTTTTGAATGGTATTACATATTTTTTGGATTCGTCTTGTTATTAGATCGTAACAGAATTAATGCAGGTTTTCTGAATTTTGTGTTTGGATCGTTATAACTTTTTACACAAACAGTCTTCAAGAAATGTTGTAATCAGCAAACCTTTTTCAACTCAGTGTGCATTATTGTGTTGTTGTAGCTTCACTGAGAAAAATCTTATAGCCCGAATTCTGCCAGGAATTTTTCCGGAAAACCTTCACTTTGAGAAACCATAACTTACTATCAAATATAATAAGGTAGCGCAAATATAGCTCATTGTGTAGCCTATGGTCGGTTGTGCAGCAGCGCTAAATTCGGAATTGGAAAAGGATTCTTTGCGAGAGGATATTTGAAAAAATTTTAAAAGTACTCATTTTTCGACTTTTCTGAGAATTTGAAAAATCGCTTTTCTGAAACTTTTGAATTTTTTCAAAGCTGAACAGGGAGAACGGCTCCCGATCCTTTCAGCCATAAATGTCTAAAATCTATTATTCTTATATAAACCGGAAGCTCCGCAATCGCTTAGCGCTGAGGATTTTTATATAGGGCGAGCATTAGCGGCAGCTGAATTTTGCTCTGAAATTTCTCTGCTCAAATATTTTCAGAATTCATGATTCAACATACATTTTGTAACATAACTCACCCAAAAATACTATGTAAATTTGCAGCGAATTCCAATTGTTTTTGGTGGTTTTAGAGCCAGGTATATTGAAGGAAAGAATTTCGAGATTTGGTTTCTCAAATTTATGGGTGCAGAACTTCCAGACAAATTCACTTCCACTGAAATGAAAGAACGCATAAGAAATTAGAAGAAAAGAGCTTTCAAATGGTATGCAAAACTCTCTGGGAAAGCACTTTCCCTTTCTAAAGCAGCATTTTGAAAAAGGTGCGCGAGAAACCTGCATTAATTCTGTTACAACCTAATATATTAATATTCTCTCCAACCTTAACGTCTGCTCCATGTGCCCTGCCTTGATATGGACAGACGGTTATTGTCTTTCTATAATGTTTTTCTTGTACTGCTTCGGAATCCTTCACAAGCTGTCTAACGTACTAGTTAATACTGACACCATCACTCCATATATAAAACTTACTGAATTAGCGCATTTTGCATCAAAATGGCTCGTTAAGAATTATTAGGAGTTGTTTGATCAACTTATCAACATAGAGTTTTGCTGCACATTCTACTCCGAAAGCGCCGGAACATGTAAGTTGGTTTCGGATGTGCGTTTGAGGAGAAACGGGGCAGGATCAGAATTCAAGGGCTTTGGGAATTGAGTAACCCGACGGCAAATTTTCGACTACTACATATAAGATGCGTTCTAAGTCAAGAAGAAAATAAGAGCGTTAAGGTAAAAAAAAATATGACTAATATTTGCGGGAAAGTGAGATCAAGCTCAGCGATAGCCAAACTCATTAGAATCTGAGTTTGGAAATAACCGATTTGAGACGGTCTTGATATAAGCCGATTTCATTAGGTTGGAAACTAAGTTTTACAACTGGTCTCATAACTTTCCTCCCACTCAACAAGAGCACTCAAATTTTGCCACTGCGTTGGGTATTACGTAAGCTACAAGCGCAGCTGCTTTCCTACCAAATTCTGACGTCGCAGTGAGGGTTACGGTAGGTGCTTGGTATGAAAGGGAAAAATTCAAAGTTTGACGGATTTGGCTAAAACTTGGCATAGGGGTGTTATCCGACATGGGGATCACGAAAACGATACTAAAATTGCGTGATAAGGGCTTTTTTGTAGGATTACTGTAGGTGTACGATATGGGGTCTCACCCTAAACAAGGAAAAAGGCGTTGATTCAACAAATGAATGTGATATTCGCGTTTGGCAGGTCAAATAACCTTACTATGTAAAGTTTCGGCGGAATTTAAGCTTCGGACTCTGTAGTCATTGACGGTCGTCCCCAGCAGCTCTTGTGTACATCGACTCGTTCGACTTTATGAGGACGCCAAATCTCGCATACCCCTAAATTTTGTTTCTTTCTTATTAGGCCAAAGGAGTCAACCTCCAGCAATAACTTTAGACGAACCCGGATTACTGCGCATGGTCTAGGCTGCCAAAGGCTTCATTTTAGCTTGAAACCCCAAAAATTCTCAAATTTCACTAGTTATCGAAAAACGCCTGAAACTTTTCTATTTCGAGTTCAAAATTTAGACAGTTTGTGCTCATTTGTAGCTCACATTGCCTTCTACATAATGCCGAAGTTTGAGTGCGCCATATCCAAAAAGAGTGAAGTTATGAAACCAGTTGCAAAACTTAGTTTCCAGCCTAATATTTGGAGCTCTTTTGTGCAGAACAGACAACTCGTTTAGTCAGTTTTCAAATCACAATTTCTTTGTTTTTACTCAATAACGTTTCCACTTCAAAATTGTTTTATCAAAACCCCATAGATCAATTATGCCCTTCAACTATGGTCACTATGTAGTATGTAACCTTAGAAATAGCTAAAATGATTAGAGTTTTCCGCTGCAAAATTTGAAAGCTTACACATTCAAGCAAATTAGTACCTGCAGAGCCCTTCTGGTTTTGACACAAATACGAATTATTAGAAAAAAACTGGTGAAGCTTACACCCTAGCCCTTTTGATGTTTGGTCGTGATCTCGCTTTAATGTGATATCTGATGTGGTGTGGTGTGGTAATATCTGATATGCTCTTGTGTATGAGTTGGCCCATTTGATTCCACAGTTCCAGTGCTAACAGAAATCAAGCAGTTTATCTAGGATTCGGTTTTCTACACTGTCCTAAGCTTATGGAAGCTAGTTTGCTGGAAGCGAAGGCATCTATTCCCCACTTAACACTGCTTTTCGAATCAAAGCGAAGAAAATCATGGCGCTCAAATTGCTCAGTCGCACTGCTTGAGGCTTTAATTGAGGTATTAAAGTGCACAAACTATTCTTTGAACTCACCTTCGCGAGATTAGCCGGACTTTCTGTAATCGAGCTCAATTAAAGCGCTTAATTCGCGGTCTTTTGTCTCTAGTTCCCATTTCCTCATGTTGGCTCAATTTGAATGCTGTCCACGGCAGACTGATGTTTGTTTTTGTAGACGGCTACCTGCAGGTTATGGATTTTGCTTGGTGCTGCTATGAGCTGGAAATCGTGTTAGTCGAATGATTCGCCATAATTCATTTTAATCGTCCGCCAATGGCAACAGCGATTAGACAATCATTTTGTTATTGAAGATTATGATTTATTTTTACTGTTAGCTTTGCTAAAGCTCATCGAATCCTACCGTAACCCAGTCGATTTCTTCTGAGTTATTCTATCAACATCCTCCCGCTCAGAACGAGTGAATTACCATTTTCCGCCGGAACAAAAAACTTCCGTTGCCACGCCCAAGTCCAGCATCCACCCTCGTTGTACTTGAGTGCCATGGCTTCAGCGTCCGCTCTGCTCTCACTGTTACTCTGCCAGCTCGAGAAATTTCGGATTTTTCAGAAAGCTCTAACTTTACACATTTTTCAAACACAAAGGTTTTGAAAAACGTTCTCTCACGAGAAATCTCGCCTTGCAGCTATTTTTAAGCTGCCCTTTCAAATTATTTGGATTCCACGATCTGAAAATGTGTTTTCTCCTCTAGAAAGCTCTCTTATGTTCTAAAAGACTATTCTAAGCGGGTTGAAAACATTTAAGGCCACTGATCATTTATTAGCGAAATTTTTCCTCAAATGGACAGATAAAATTGTTTTATTTCCTTTCCCCTCTCTGTTGAATCTGCATTACAATTCAGTAAGTAGGTTCATCGAATGATGAATGAAGAATCTATTGAGTCAATTAGACATATTCTAGGCTGTGACTTTTCAAGGGTAAAACTTGGAAAATAGCAACTTTCAGATTTGATACTAATCATTCAAAGCCTAGAAACACTCAAGAAGGAATATGTGGAGAAAACATTTTCGCCTGGACGAATTACTTAAGAAAAATTCGCATTCACCCAAAATTATGTTAAATAAGTCAGTGTGCGTTTCTTTTAATTTACCGCCTCATCTTTACATAAATAAGCCAAACAGCAAGCTTATATCTGCCATATTTTTATCGTAAAGTTTTTACATACTTTTGAGATGCGAAACAGTAGGTATGTCCTTTGTGTTTTTTGCTTCCATTCGTCTCTTGACATTTATTTTTTGAAGCCTCAAAAATACAAATGCTATTCAGACTTTGTTCTCCAATTTTTTCCTAATCGCAACAATGTAGCGACAAAAGCTGAAATCAATCCTACATTTGTAATGTATAGCGTCATTCTTCATATTTGTATTCGAATCTGTGCTCCAATCTTTTCGATTCGCGACCGGATTGACTTCCTGCGTTTAATCCTGGTTTTCCTATTCTTTTCGAATCTAAAAGACGAGAATTTACAGAAATGTGTGATGCGACGTCGGAGGATCGACTGATCCTCGAGCGTTACCTGCTAAACGGTGTGTTCGGCAGTGCATTTGCCTTATTTGGCTTGATAGCAAATGGTCTTTTGGCCACTCTCTTCCTGACCAGATCCAATTACAGGTTAGTCACGAGAGAACTCGTCCAAATGTTGATTCTTCTCGGCCAACTTGTGTCTTTTCTCATTCGTACTATTACTATCATTTGTTGTTGTTAGCTATGGGCTTACCGTAGGGTGTGAGTGTCGGAGAAAACAAAAACATTAGCCATGGAAAGAAATCCGAACAATCGTCTTTGTTTGCCAGTACAACTATCACAGCTTGTTCATTTGAGCAAAACTTAACTTTTATGTGGGCGGAAAAAGCGTGAGTATCGGCAGCGAGGTTCGAAAAACGAAATTTTTATCACAAAATGGAAAACGCATAAAAATGACCCAGAAGAGCTCAGCAAAGATTTTCCTTGAATTTTGCTGTCGGTTCAAGTTATGAAACCACAGCATTAGCATAACCACTTAGTTTACTTCGCTGCCTCCACGAAAAAGAAAATCCTTGAAAACTTCTCAGCTCTCTTTTGGCTTTCGCTTTCAAAAAATTCCCGATTCTGGTTGACTAACCGATGAACTCGTGTGCTTCTCTTTGAACAAAAGGATATTTGAGCAAAAATCGGATTTTATACACAATATTGATTGTCTACATTTTTCTGAAATTGGTTACTAGAGAAAGATGGTGAAAACATCAGTTTCATGAAGTTCCTTGTTCACCTGTTCCTTGGTGAATTCTACTAAGTAAACCCTAATGCATATTTTGATCAGAGAACAAATACAATTAGCCTCAGCTTCGAACAAAGTGAAAACAGGAGTATACTTTTGAGTGAAGTTGTTTTTCACGACGAAAACATAAAAGAGGGGTCCAAAAAAGTTACGGTATCTAAAATTTTGCACCATAGAAATTTTTTCCCTTTCACGTTAATACTTTTTTGAAATTTAGCCGTGTTGCTAGCCATTTACTGTATTGATGGAAATCTTTTGGACCGAACTACTTGCTACTTACTACTTTATGTATAAAGTGCACGATTTGATAATCCCGTGGTGGACCAGAGGTGAAATGCTCCACTTTCTGTCAATTTATGTGGATTTGCTTTCGCAGAGCTAGTGTGATTAACGGTTACTGACCGTGGATGTCGTAAAAATGTCGTTAAGTTAGATTTCGATGTTGTTGCCGAGGGTGGGGGAGCTTGGCACAAGTCCAGTCTGACATAGGAATGAATCACATTTATGCAATCAATTAATTTGGAAAATTATCTTATAGCCACTTTCACTTTCCAAAGAGTCACTGACTTTTTGAAGTAAGGGAAATGCAAAGTTTATCCTCTTTTTGGGTTACTCCAGATTTAGAAAAAAACGCAAACACGAAATGTGCATGCGTTTGCATTAACAATTACTATCATGATTGGTGTTATTGATTTGCTATAAAGTATTAATTGTACGTTTAGGCAACATATATCTATGGTAAACGACTGAATAACATTATTTGCAAAAATTACAAATACCCAAGACTAATCTCCAAATTTTTGAAATTTTCAGGCACTCGCCATTTTTCTTCCTCGGGTTCGTCGCACTTTTCGACACGCTATTTGATGCGACATTTATACTTCTGCTGGTATGTTGTTCTGGATATTCCAAAAATTTCGTTTTTCAGTAAAAATTAAGAACAGCCAAAATATTGGAAAAAAGAGATGATTGTTTGAAAGCTATTTTTGAGCATAACAAAGATTTTTTTAGTGACCAGAAAAACACGAAAAGCAGAGCTATTCACAAGGATTTTTTTGCGTTTCCCATGTCCCAAAATTTTGGAGAATTTTCAAGTCGAAATCGCTTAGCAGCTTTCTCTTTCACAAAGTGCGAACGACCATTCTTGTGACAAAACAACTACGGAAAAAGTTTCAGTTTAAAATGTTGAGAACCTATGGTTACTAAGCTTGCTATAACTGACAGTTTCGAAATTTACAAATCAAATTCTCAGTTCATCAATATTGACTTCAACATAACGATTGCCATTCCCTCAAATCCCAATTTCCAAACGGTAGTGTCGCTCCTCTTGAATTCAACATGAAATTGAACAGCATTAGGCTAAAATTTGTCGAAATGAGCGTGACTAGTACAGCGCAAACATCTCCATTAGAAAGCAATAAAAACGTCGGAAATGGCCAAGCATGCGGCTGCCAAAAAATCACTTCATTGCTATTGTCCATGGGAGAAAATGCTGGGCAATTGAGTTTTGGACTTTTGGTCATTGATCGTTGACTGGGTAAAGCGCCTATTGAAGAATTTGGGGTGGTTGAGTACTATGAATATTCATTTTCGCCCAATTCTCTATTCATTTGATCTCTCCTTATTCATATTTCTACTGATGGAATATTTCAGTCGATCCCAGTAAATGCTGAATACTTCGACAACTACGTCTTATTTCTCCTATGGCTAAACTATATGCCAATTCTCTATCTGTTTTCACAGATTTTCAAAATTGCTTCAGTATTCTGCCTCATCATGGCTAGCATAGAAAGGTGAGTGTTTATTTAGGAATTTATTGGCAGGTAAAAAAAAGAACAAAATTTTTGTCTGGTCCTTTACAAGTGAATCTTGCGAAGTGAAAGTAAAGCAATTTCCGCTATTCTTCTTAGAAATTCTATCTAACTTTTTCAGTTCAACGTTTTGCACATTTCGTCGCATTTGCAAATTGAAAATTGACCCTCATCGCCTTTCCAGTAGAGTTTTACAGAACGTGCAAATTGTTTCGATTTTGAGAATACAAATTGTTTCTCTGCTTTGAACTACCACCTATCTTGTTTCTGGGACGTTCACTGGTTTGTTCCTTTGTGAGTGTTGCCTTAAATGCATGAAGACTCTTTGAATGTGATTTATAGCACTAGATCTCCGGGGAACCGCAGCAAGAAAAAAGTCCACGCTTCGCAAATTAATTCAGTTTGAAATTTCTAAGGAAACGTGAACTTAGGCAAACAGTTCTTTTTTGTAAATCTGATTTCATGCAACCAATAATGCGGAAGTGGGTATATTTTTCCCCTTCGACGGCCCATTCTCTCCTCATAAATTTTTAGCGAGCTATGTCTGGTTTTTTCCATGAGCTGAGAAGAGCTTTCAAGCTGGTCCAGTATAATGGTGGCATTGGGAAAACTGAAATAAAAAGCTCTTGAAGAAAATGCCGATGGTTTAAAATTTCGTAAGCTGCCCTTTCTGAAGTGCATATTTTGTGTGAGATTTCTTTTAGACAGTCATCATCTTTGGTGTTTGGAAATTTCTGGCTCAAAAAGCAATTTATTACATTCGTCAGTGACCGCGCAACCTACCTACATTGAGATGGTCCATTTACAAATTCCTTTTGAACCCTAACATTTGTTTTTTGAATGAAATTTTTTCAAATAGTAAGCCATTACTCTTAGTACTTTCATGTCAAACGATTTTGAAGCAGAATAGCAAGGAGAGGGAGAAGGAAAGGAAGTCCGCATATGTTTCTTCTTGGGTCTTTCTAATGTCATTACGAATATGAAGCCATAGCCATAATAATAGCCATTTCTGCAAAAATCTATGTGTGCAACTGCACATGGGCTAGTTTTTCTAAAAGGATAGAATTTCTTGAAAGCGATAAAAACTTGTGCAGCATAGTTTCCTTCTTTGGATGGCGAAGTGGAAAAAATAGAAATAAGAACTTATGCGAGGCGCGGTGCACTCTGCCATTTGCAAGGTACGAATCCGATTTGAAGCGAAATTGTAGTCTAAAATTGCGTTTTCTCTTCAAGCACAAAAACATATAACAAAAAAGTTGCATGTGAGCTCTATCCTATTTCAACTTCAAACACAATTTATCGGCACATAAATATTTGTTTTTTGAGATGTTCGTGCCATTTCCCCTAAATAGGTCTGCAGCAGCTATCTCATAGGTTTTGGGGATCCAACAACCTCGTCGTCCTATCTTCGGACAAAACCCAAAAATCGCGGGAATATCAACAATTTTGTCAACTTGATGATCTATTTCATTTGCTGATCTGGGTTATTTCCTATGATTACAATACATTTCGTGATATTCAAAATTTTTACTACCAAATAATTCTTGGTCTTGTTACCCACTGTTATGCCATAGAAAAAAGAACAATTTACAGGTATTTCATGACAAAGCATTGGACCTTCACGGGATTTGAGCGAAAAACACGATGGCTATCGCTATTGTTTGTTGTTGGAATGGCGATTATTATCAAAAACATTACTGCGGTAAGTTTATATAAACTACAGCTACTTTGGGGAAAGGGAGGAGGGTCAGTATCGAGAGCGGTGATTATGGCAGATTGTACAAAGAAACAACACGTCCCTTTAGGTAAGCGAGGAGCGACCAACGGTGTGAAGCTCCTTTTGAAACTAAGGGTAAAAAAATAAAAGACCTAAGGCGAAATTAAGGTATACTATTTTTGACGAGGTCCGCAGTAACATTGCTATATTTAACGATTTTTCTGTCGGAGTAAAAGCGACGTTTCAAGAAAATTCAAATGAAGAGGAATGCCGGAAGTGATAATGGGATAAAGGGAGTGGAGAGGGAGGGGGGAACGTTACTCCTGAGTCTTTAAAAATGCCGCGAAACGACGTCACAGTTCCTTGCCCAGTAAGATATCAAATTTGAATATAGTCTATTCCCTTGGAGCAGGTTTTCTCCGAGTCATAAATGCGATAGGGGGAGCAGGGTCCCCTCTAAATGAGGGCGGGTTTTGGCTATTTCTGACCTAGAAAGTGAATGGACTAACGAGCCTTGAGATGAATGCTGATGCAAGCTTACACGCCTAGCGGAAGCGCGGGTGAAAATTGATTCAGGAAAATTGTGTATTTCCATCAGTCGACAAACTATTCGAAAGCTTTATACAGAGTCGACGTAGACCGTCCCTTCCTCCTGTGAATTGAGATATAAAAGTTTATATCTAGCAGAAATAACAGCTGATTTTAAGCAATCACTTTGCGCTTCATTTCTGAAGGAAGAGGAAAGCTAGAAAAAAGAGACGATCTACGATTACTGACAATGTCTTGCTCTGTAAAATATAATAGTTAGCCAACCGGGCATCTTCATTCATTCTTTATGCAGGAATTTCTTGACAAAAACATACGTGTTTTTAGCTAAAACTCATGTATCTCTGAGTAGAGAGGAGCTAGAGAAAAAAAGACGGCCTAAGTCGAATCTCCGTTTCGTGAGCTTTCTAATGGTATATAGGTTGTTAAGTGAAAAAACTCGTGGCTTTCCAAAATTGAGGTGGACGTATTTACTATTAGATTGCTCCATTCTGCCTCTTCAATGGCTTGGCTTTCGTGGGTCGCTGGAGCGAGACTTTTTTGGAGCAAGAAAGCTTTATGCACCAATAATTTATATACCATTCGATAGCTAACGGCACGACGAAGAGATCTAAGCCGTCTCTTTTTTTTAGCTATTCTGCGAAGCGAAATATAAGGAATTTGATCTAGCTGCAGTATCTAATTTGTGAAGTATTTTCTGCTTCATTTTTGAAACGGAAAAGGTATTTTCCGAAGCTTCGGATGTAAATGAAAAGTTGTAAAATTAAATAATCTAACTGCTCTTTTCTATTACGCTCTTCAACGAGAGAAATAGTCCGATTCTTGTCAATGAGATTCATCATTGGCAAAACCAGACTTCCTACTCTTGCATAATTCATCCCTGCAACAATGTATATTTATTGAACAATGTTGCTTACTTAAAGAGTCAGACATCCTCTAAAATTGTTTACTTCGTTATCAAAATGTGCCACTGTAAGTAAGCCAGAAGGTTCCAAATTTGCGCTTTTCTTAGCAAACACTGTAAAAGTGCAGTAATGTCATGCACTGACTGAGAAAAAGCAGCAGCTGGCGTTCTCAACAAAATGTGCGCCATTTAACAAGTGTTTTATTCAGCCTTTATACCTGGACTCTAGTCTCAACCTCAGATGAAAGGGTCATCCAGATGACGGCCCAAAGTGAAGGAGGGCTGAGAAATTGCTCCACCTATCGCATGCTTCGAGTGGGAAGCTTCATGTCATTCTCATTATATATGAGCAACAAACCCAGATGGTAGATAATTCTTGAAAAACGACGTAAACTTTGCACGTAACTCACTCGCAGCTGGTGGGGGACGATAACTTTATTAGAAAAGAAGTGCGCACTTTCCAAATGAAGCTGAATAATTTGGGAAATTTATGACAGCGTGGTAGTACTTCCATTCAAATTTCGAAGTTTTTGACGTGCTTATATTATCTATCACGGACGGCATGGTTTTCATTCATAAAACATGTGAATCAATGCTTGTAATTTGTGTAACATCACCTGTTTCAAGATACCACGTATATCTCGCGCATACGAATGTAAAGGCTGCAGGCGCAATACCCTTGGGCGCGAACGCGGCTTTATTAGCTGCAGAGCGCGTAAAGCGCAGGATTTACAACGGTGAAGATACGCGCGCGCCAAGTTCCCGCCCGCTCAACTAATACTGCTATTGCGCCTTCGTCATGCAGTAGCCTTTAAGTATGGAAATAGGTTAAGACTATTTGTGAGGGAAACTAGATCCGCCTAGTTTCTATTTTGCAACATCTGTAAATTTGTCGAATGTAAAAGAAGCTGACTACTTCAAGAATTAAGAAGTACATCGACCATCATTTCATGGAAGAAGATAGTAACTTTTTTGGAGTTAGCTATTACTACAATTCATTAGCTTTTCCACGAATCTCACGCCAAAGTACTCATTCAGCTTATTTCTGTGCCATAACAGCTTTTATCCGGCAAGAAATTGTTGTAAAAAGCTGAACAATATTCTCACACTATGATTTTTGCACATGCGTGACCTTCTATAGTTTCAAAGAGTTTGCGAATGATTAAACATTGTGAGGGAAAATCGTGCGCACTTTCTGGGTTGCTTACGTGCTTACGTGCTGGTGTCACACGAACAAAAACAGCTCAAGTTATTTGAAAATGAAGCGAAAATTATGGCATATCATGGGGATACAGGCTATTAAAAAATTTGAAGACAAAGCAAAATTCGACTTTTGGGCCTCCAAGAAGAGTAAGTCATCGTTTTCAATGACTTACTCTTCTTGGAATAGGAAATTTGCGTTCTCTCTCTTATAAAAGATCATGATTCTGTCTCTACGAATAGCCATGAATTTGAAATTCTTCTACTCGACAAATCAACTTCTCCTACTAAATTCTGGTGTGCATGGTAGCATACAACATTTGTCACACTACATTAAAAAAATGAATAATAGGAATCCAAAGGCTTTTCAAAAGCTTGTTTCCAAATTTATTCAAGAGGCTTATGAACTCACCTAATAACTACAGTGATTAGAAATTTGTGATAAATGTATATCTGAGTGGATGTCAGCTTTAACGATGGCACTTAAGTTCAAGAAACACAAAACAAGCCCAAAAAATCACAAGATGATAGAGTGATCAAATCAAAAGTAGTGTTTACATTTTTGGAACACTGCGTGAGATAACATCTCATTCTGTGCTGCTCTTTTAGAGAGCAATGATCTTATCTCGTACTTCTTTTTTGACTCTGAATGTACTTAGCAATACAACTAGCGATTTTGAGTAAGCAATATCGATGGGGTTCTTACTTCTTTGTCAAGAATTTATTCATTCTGCACCATAGTAACTCAACAGTGTTGGTTCATAAGTTTCGCTCATTTGAAGTCTTGATCTCCTCCAGTTTCAGCAAAAGCGTTTCGTTTGCTTCGACAAGAGACGGAATTATGCACATTGCAACAGTCTCAATACAAAAATCATTGTCGGCATATCGCAGCAGTACATGCTGATTAATTGAACATTAGACTTGCACATTTTTGGAGTCGCGACACCTTTGAATGTTGAGAGATCCAGCCGAATTTAACTTTTTCTGTCTGCCATTTATGACCTAATCTTTCCGACTAGAAAAACATGATGATCGAATGCTTCGACGGATATAGACGAGCACACTAACAAAAGAATACTAGGTGGCCGTGGCCATTTGGAATGCGATGTATACCGTAAGATGCACCTCGAAACGCTGATTCTAAATCTGTGCTCGAATCTGCGAAACGACCTTCTGAACGAAGTTATGAACTTTTTCGTAGAGAATTTGCGTACTTTTGGGTAGTTAAAATTACCAAGTTTGCCCTTGATTACCGTTTGAAGGTAATGAAGAGAATTTTAAAAGGAACAGGTTGTATTATATTAGGTTGTCCGGAAATTAATGCAGGTTTTGAATTCCAACCGCAACAAGTCATACATTTTTCATTTCTAAGTGGCTATCTTGCTTTAGCAACAGCCCTGATTTACCACGAGTTTCGAGCCAAGAACTAAAAAGTTTCAACTGCCCGAAACTCGAGAATAATCGTAACTCAGTTTATAAAAATCCCGCAAAAAATCTAACTTGCTCACGTAAACACCATCTACATAGGGCATCTATATACGCCGTTGCCGTATTTTTTTCTTTGTTAGAAATCAAGAAAACGGAAATTTTCGTGCATTTGCCAAAGTGATGCTGTGCCGTTCCCACATAGGTAGTTGTACACTACAAACCTGTAGAAGTACAAACGTGAATTTCCAACTCTCTACAAGCTTTAGTTTTCGAGAACTTTGAATTTTAGCTTGGACCACATGACTAGGGAAAGCTGCATCCGATATTTCTCGAGAACTAAAGCTTGTAGAGAGCTGGAAATTCACGTTTGTACTTCTACAGGTTTGTAGTGTACAACTACTTATGTGAGAACGGCACAGCATCATTGTGGCAAATGCACGAAAATTTCCGTTTTCTTGATTTCTAACAAAGAAAAAATTACGGCAACGGCGTATATAGATGCCCTATGTAGATGGTATTTACGTGAGCAAGTTAGAATTTTTCTAGGATTTTTATAAACTGAGTTACGATTATTCTCAATTTTTCGGGCAGTTGAATCTTTTTAGTTTTTGGCTCGAAACTCGTGGTAAATCAGGGCTGTTGCTAAAGCAAGATAGCCATCTTGTAGAGCTTGTTTTGTTCTATCGAATGGTGTTTACCAACCTACTTAGAAATGAAAAATGTATGACTTATTGCGGTTGAAATTAAAAACCTGCATCAATTTCCGGACAACCTAATACCTATCTAAATCATATTCATTATTCGAAAAATTTTTATTTTGGCCCTCCAGTAGCGCAAGTAGCGCAATCTATTCATGGGAAAATAATCATAACTCCATCAAGGTTATCGTTTCGCAGACATAAGACGTATTCGAACCAGCATTGTAAGGCGCATTTGATACACAAATCATTACAAACGGCTACGGTCACCAATTATCCTTCCCTTGCTGCAGGAATTACCTTGGTCAGACGCAACAACGTCCTATCCATGCGTGCGATGAATCCTCTATAGTTACACTATTCCATTTATTGGTTTTGCTTGAAGTTATGTAGATAATGGAAGTCATCAACAATTTGAATCGACGATGGTGTGCTCTCCGTTTATAGGCTGCAAATCTGATAATTGATAACCAGTACACGATTACTTGTAATATTATGATGTTCTGGATTGTGCTCAGCGCTACAACTTGTTGTGCAATTACATCCTTCTTCAAAATTTGATGAAAACGAGTTACCCCACTACTAACTGCTTGTCTGCTAAAAATACTGAGTGCTCGAAGGCTTTATAACGGGTGGTAGCAGCCGGCAAGAACCGCTCGTACTTACCAGAGTGAAGGCACCTATGCTGAAGTGCTGGGACGCCCGCTAAATCTTCAACGATGCAGTACCGCGTCCAAAGTTTAGCGCGTCGAACCCGACCCGGATCAAAAATACAAAGTGTTCTCTTAAAGCACTTACTCGTTGTCCACGATTCTATAGTACTGAGAATCAATAAGTAAGAGTGTAGCCTTGATTGCCTGTAAGCCAGATGAATACGCATCTGATCGGGACCCAGGTTCGATCCTCAGTATGGACCAATGTCAGTAGCTATCTAGCGCTGCTTGCATGCAAATGTGCATGCAAATGCTTATGTTTCAGTGTTCTGGTTTTGACGTTGGGTGGAAAAGCAATCCTGGTTATTTTAGGACGTTTCCATTGTTGAAAGAGAAGAATGTATTGGTTACAAGCGATTCAAAATCACTACACGACAAAGCAACGCATACCATATCGACCTTTTCAATACTGCAGCTATATTCGTGCCATTTTTCACCTTGATATTCCTAAATGGAGGCATTGTTATGATGCTGAGGAAGCAAAATGTGCAGGTGGGTGGTTATCAGTTTGTAAGCTAATGCGTGGAGTCGATGGAAGGATTGAAGAGGATGAAAATTATAGTGTAGACCAGGGCTCGACACGAGCTGGCACCAGCGAAAATTTGAAACGAATTTTTGTTTCAAAATTTCGTACAAAGTCTCCTTTAACCTTAAACCCTAAACGTAAAAGACCTCATAAGAAACGACACGTCAACTAAAAAAAAAACGTCGCAATTTTCTTTTCGGCCACAAAAACGATATCCCCTCTGCTTTTTGTCAACAATATCCAACTACAGTGCCAGCTGCGACCAGCTCTGGTGTAGACTTTTAGTGCAACGCATGAATGTGGCTAGATTACTTATTGTTAGTAATTTTCTCATAAAACATCATATTTAACCTGATATTGCATTGAAATTAGTCATTCCGATCAGTGCGCCCTCAGCTGCTATGCAATTGAATATATCTAGACCAATTCTTGGCTTCCCCAACTATAGTCAGTGTATCATGAAAGTAGGATATTTTGTAATCTTACAAATCGTATCTGAAATACTGTTATCTCTTGATAGTACTACATTACTGTCATGCTCTACCGTAACTTGGCCCATTACAGCAACTTCGATCTTTGATAACCGAGCTCACCATGGGAACCGATGTCATGAAAATCCGTAGGAGAAACCTGCGAGCAGCAACCAACACCCTCATTGTGATCATCTCCGCCTACCTCATCTCCAATCTTCTGAATGTCTTCCTCACTATAACGGAATATCTTGATGAAGGTATGCGTCTGGTTGGATTCACGCAAAATTATAATATAAGAAAGTTTGCAGAGTTTTTGCATGTCCAACATCCGAGGTTTTTCCAATTAGCCGCTGACTTCGCCTCGGTGTTGGCAGTGGTTGGGAATGATATACGATGTCCGGCGCATTTTTTGTCAAATTCGGAAATTCGACAGCAGTTTGCTTTGATGTTCTTTGGCGAGGGAGAAGACAAGGTAACAGGATTCATTCTTGAGTGTTTCCTTTTGATTGTCCAATCAAACTTCTGAAGCTGGACCACTTGAGGTGTCTTCGACCACTAACTGATTACTTGAGCGATGTGAAGGCCTCTTGCCGGTTTTACCGAACAAAAGTAGCCCAATTTACGAATAAAGCGTTTTGAGTAATAGAGCTTAGTACGTACGTTTACCCACGATGAACGAAATCTGGCGCTCAATCTGTTGGTGTAAAACATGAAACTTTTGGATTTTGAAGAGTATCTCGTCTTCAAGAGTCTAGAAGACCACTTCTGCCGGATCTTTAGCTACATATGAAAGTTTAGACCGCTTATGGACCCTTATGCACCCTTACAAATAAAGTAATTGAATGCTCAAGTGAATTTCACAGTTACATATATCGGTATTTTATCAAAGTCAAAAAGGACCTCCCCTAAAATGTGTAAATAATGTCACTTTTCGTAATTTCCTTACATTACCTTCTGGAGGATTTTCATGCTTTACCTAGACGATACCTAGATAGTACTTAGATAGTAATTTGTTTCAGCTTCAGACCCTCAAAACCAATAACTATCGGTAAATTCCACTGTTTCCTTTCAGAAAGTCACCAATGCACCGCGAAAGTCTAGTGAGCGCCTTGAAAATCCGTGGATCTCATTACTGCTCACCGTACATGACAAGGACCAACCGAACTCTCCACTCCTTGCAGGACGAACCTATTCAAAACGCCATAGTACCATTGCCATATGTTGACTCTAACAATAACTCGTTACTGTTCAAAGAATCACTGTCATCGTCTCCCGGTGCTCTTTATGGAGATCTCTACTTATGTTGACTGACTTCCAATTATTTTGCCCAACCTTGCGAGATGATATAGTCAGAATGTTTTTTTGTTTCACCGCGTGCGAAGCACATACTAGCCTAATAATGAACGATGTAATAACAGACATTGTCAAGAGTTACAGTTACGGGTTCATATCTAATTGTCATTTATCCATTCCATTGAGAGTTTATTATCTTTGACGGGTTCCAGTAGCTAGAATTTCTTGAATGTGTCTGTAAATTATAATAATTGTTGTTTGTCTTTTACGAAAGTCACCGTGGACTATTAAACTCACTGATCTAGCATAAATGATGGATTTATATATAGTGTGTCCCAAAGAAGTACACTGTTTGAACATAACTCTTTGATGTCCTGCGGCGAATTCTACATAGATACCATTCTGTAAAGTTGAATTCAACCAAATTTACGGTGAGGAGCGAATCACCGGTCTCCCTCCATTACTGTAGGAATACGGTAGAAACGTCGAGAACGATTTTAATCCACAAAACCATATCTTGCCTAAGGAAGAAAACCAGACAAGACAAACTTTCATACCAAGCTAATTAAATTCGCGATTCTAAATACAGAGCTCGCAAGTTATTTAAGACACAACATAAGGGCCAACGTTCGTCACAACTGCGAATTCACCGCTAAAAAAGTTCGGAAATTCTTTGAACTTTGTGCATTCAAAAAATTTTGCCAGACTATTTCATAATCATTCTATAAGCTGACAGTAACGAGGAGCTATTGGCGATTCATTCCGTACTGTGTCTAAATTGAAGCCAGCTCTATAGAATGTACCTAAATATCGGAAGAAAAGCAAGAGACTTAACAACCAAACGGTGCGCATTTTCTTGGGACACCCTGTTCAAAGCTGAGTTGCATACCGTGAGACTGAAAGAATCATTTCAATGTTAAAACTATTACCATCAATGTAGAAAGTGGACGATATTGAAGAGAAGGAAGTGTGGTCTGATCGTCAAAGGAATGAAATGGTCACGATTGCACTTAACGAAAGTGTATTGCTCAAAAGCCCAAGGCACATTACGATTTACACCAAATTTTCGAGGTCTAAAAAAACGTTGGACGCAATTGTTCGGAGCCATTACATGTCCAGCTTATTGTTAGAGTACACTCCATGTCTTCTAATCCCAAATACCCTGACTGTACCGATCTCTCAGCCCAGAGGAAACTCACTGTAGCTTCTACAGATCTAATTCAATATTTTTATTAAACCTAGAAATACCCGCAAATTTAGTCAAATGAGTACATCCGCATGTATCTATCCAAACAGTAAGGCTCAAGATGATTGACGAAAAATAGCTGCATTTTGAGAGATTGACGGTCCCGGTCTGCTCTCATTAAGAAGTAGCGATCATCCAAAGTGAGGCTTCTCACGGCTTCAAAGAAATATTTGACTTCATAGCTTCGAGGTTCGCGATAAAGCAGATTGACCTGGAAAACAAATCCCCTGCCGGCAAAACAATTTCAGTCACTAATCAAGTTTTGCTAAAATTGCAATAATTGAGTAAGTCAATACCTGGCAAACTGTCACACCACTGGTTCCTCCCGTTTCCGTCAGAAGAAGCTTTACGTAGTCGTACGAGTCTTTCTCTGTCCCGATGATTAACAGATCCACTATTCCACCAGCGCTGGTTCTTATGAAATCAATGATCCCGCCCTCATAATCTGGAACTTCCCTTGCAATTTCTTGACTAAGCATTGGCTCCCAAATCATGATAGTGCTACCTCCTGATCTCTTGGAGAGGGTACTCCCAGGTAGATATTTCACCCTTTCCGATTCGGTATGGGTTCGGGTGTCGGAGATAGCAATCAGGTGACATTTTTCGTTTTCTACCTAAATACAACGGTCTTTGGACGAATGACGGGTGGACCTTGAAAAACTTCAAACTCACTAAAAGCCTTTCTTCCGTAGCCGAATTTTGTGAGTTCTCCAAAGAAAGTATAGTGCATTTAGTTTTAGCGAGAGTCTGAAAGTATAATCGGTAGTTACTAGACGGCCAGAGGAATGGAACAACTATATGTACATACCGAGTTCATGTTCTGTATAAAGTATATGTTGTAGTAATCGGGAGTGGGATAAAAACGCAGACTAATCTGTGCGTTCACTGAACACTCGTCTGTACTGGTGGGTAATAACCGCCAGATCTGAAAAAGAAAACAATCTGTCGTGGTGAAGATGGGTCTTCCCTGACATTGTATTGGAATCATTTCTGAAGAGCCTTTAGGACTCTTGACAGCATCCTGCAGGTCTGGATTCTTTACCCAGCCCAAAAACCTTCTATCGCTATTCAGTTCTCCAACTGTGCCCCAAACAATGTTTCTGTGCTGTTGGTTGGGCTCTGGCAAACTAAGACTCCTTGAGGCTTTCTCCTATCAGAGTAGCAGAGAACGCCTGAAAAAGCTGTTGCCAATCACATCACCCCTTATCTGCTCTACTAAAGGCTGGAGGGACCGTAATAATTATTTTGTTTAAATACGTTCATTTTTCACTCACCACTTTTCGCTGCAGAAACCACTCATAACCAGGGTCAAGCGTGGGGTGCGGCACGCCACACCTGGGGGGTCGTATTGAGGGGTCAAAAGGGGAGGGGGTCGTAGTTGCGTAATCTGATAATAGTGATAACATGATATTCGTATCCTATCCATAATTAGCATGTTAAATAACCCCTGTAGACAAAGTGCGAGCGATTTCTGAAGGTTCAAATACTAGGCTACCTAAGTGAAATGGTCAAATTCCAACATGGTTAACTTTGTTTCAAAGGTGAATTAGTTATCCGTTTTTGCACTCAAGACAAAGCACTACTCCTTCTTTGTACATTTCAGGAATCCTGCTTCAGAAGCGTTTTTCCCATTTTTCGCTTTTGATCGCTGTGCTTTCACCAAATATTATTTGGAGCTAAGAAGACGAATCAGGCTCAAAATAGTCCCATGGAATCTACAAGGTTTAGGCTACCGATTCATATAAATAGTGTCCGCTAAAAATGTTTTTTTTGATATAGTTAATGGCCTGCGGCACCCCCCCCCCCTCAAAACCTGCGGCTGCCGCAGGTTTTGAAAGGGGGGGGGTGCCGCAGGCCATTAGCTATATCAAAAAAACATTTTTAGCGGACACTATTTATATGAAACGATAGCCTAGATCTCCTAGTTTTTAAGGGAGTAATTTTAGCCTAATTCGTTTTCTTTGCTCTGAGTAATAGTTGGTGAAAGCACAGCCATTAAAAGCGAAAAATGGGAAAAACGAGATTTTGGTTGGCTTCTAATTCCACAGTTTGGAAGTCTTCTGAAGCGGGATTCCTGAGGTGGACAAAGAAGGAGTAGTGCTTTGTCTTGAGTGCAAAAACGGATAGCTAATTCACCTTTGAAACAATGTTAAACATGTTGAAAAATGACCATTTCACTTAGGTAGTCTAGTATGTTGAATCTTCAGAATCCGCTCACACTTTATCTACAGGGGTTATTCGACATGCTAATTATGGATATGCCCATTATGTTTGACAGGGCCTTCAAGTAATGCTATCTTAAAGGCAGTGTCCTGGCAAAAAGTCGATTTTGAGATTTTGTGCTTACCCGGGCCTATTTGCTACGCTGAATCCGAAAACGCACATTGGAGAGCGCGAAAACGGCGAGAAACGGCTCTAAGACGGGAGGGAAATCAGCAGGTGGGCGGGGCCCTCCCCACTGTGAATTCACGCTCCCACCTTCCAGAGCGATCTTCTCGGTTCCGATTTCAAGTCATGCGTTCGCACCTGGCCGGTGGAGATCTCAGGGCGCTAGAGGAATTGGGAAGATCGCTCCAGAAGCTGGGACTGCGAATTTCACAGTGGGGAGGACCCCGCCCACTTTCGATTTCCCTCCTGCGTTAGAGCCCTTTTTTGCCGTTTTTGCGCTTTCCAATGTGGATTTTCGGATTCAGCATAGTGAATAGGCCCGGGTAAGCACAAAATCTCAGAATCGACTTTTTGCCCGGACACTGCCTTTAAGTGTATAGGTTAGGGGGGGGGGGGTCTTATTAAAGGCAGTGTCCGGGCAAAAACTCGATTTTGGGATTTTGTGCTTACCCGGGCCTATTCGCTATGCTGAACCCGAAAATCCACATTGGAGAGCGCGAAAACGACGAAAAAGGGCTCTAACACTGGAGGGAAATCAGCAAGTGGGCGGGGTCTTCCCCACTGTGAGTTCACGCTCCCAGCTTCGGGGGCGATCTTTTTGATTCCGGTTTCAAGTCATTCGTTTGCACTTGATCGGTGGTGATGTCATGGCGGCTAAAGGACTCGAGAAAATTGCTCTGGAAGCTGGAAGCGTGAATTCACATTGGGGAAGACCCCGCCCACTTGCTGATTTCCCTCCGGTGTTAGAGCCCTTTTTCGTCGTTTTCGCGCTCTCCAGTGTGGATTTTCGGATTCAGCATAGCGAATAGGCCCGGGTGAGCACAAAATCTCAAAATCGAGTTCTTGCCTGGACACTGCCTTTAAGACAGCAATCAGGGGGGGGGGGGGTCGTAACCAGCGATCGTGCGCCACACCCCTTGCTTGACCCTGCTCATAACTCGGCCTTAGAAAGGCGGAACAAATGAATAAAGCAAATTTGTAATGGTGAGTGCTGTACGAGATAATACAGATATTCCTTGTCTTTGTCCTCAAATTTTGAAACCAGGAAGCGCCTCGAGACGCGCAGGTACTACTGCAATGATTCTTTCGAAGAGTAGGTATATACCGTCCTACAGTATGACAATCATCCAGTCGTACTTGCATTGAGCATATATGGGCAAGAAGAAGTGACGGACCACTGTTAATAGAACGATATCAAAGTACGAATGATTCCACTATCCAAAGTGCCTTTGAAAATCATTACGGTTTCATATCGTATTGAACCGTCGAGTATGATAAATATTATATAGTAGAGAGAAATATCAGTTTCGCTTTATATAAAGCTCCTTGAGGCGTCATTGATCACAAATCTAATGGAAGGCCATGGAAGTTCCCGTCAAAATCCGTTAAGCACTGCCTCTATGAAGTGGGAGAGGAGGGGGGGGGGTATACTTGGGTTCGAATCGAATAGAAATTCGACCATTCAAATAAAACATTCGAATATATTCGCATTCGAAATTCGATATTCGGATTTTTTTCCATTTTCGAATAATATTCGAAACTCGAATAATTGAGAAAACGGGGTTTCGAATAAAACTCGAAACTCGAATAATCAAAAAACGAGGTTTCGAATAGATTTTATTTGTAGAACATTATTTTTTATTTTAGTTATAGAACATTCGAATACGAATTCGAATGTTCATTCGAATTTGTATTCGAATGAAATCCGTGTTCAAATTATTCGATTTGTTGCAGAGCCAACTGCTGAGTATCAAGCTCGCTTCGTCTGCGTTTTTTTCGCAAAGCTCGATAATGCATCTTTTTGCAATCGTGGTGATCTTTGAACTGTATGACAAGTCGCACATTCCTCCAACTGCTTGCGACAGTAAAAAACAATTGGTGTGGATTTTAATTGATGCTTTTTCGACCAATGAGATATTCCGCACTGCCATTGGCAACAAATCAGCAAAAAAAAACAGCTATAGATTCAAGCTCATACTCCGAGTTCACATACTGGAAATGTGTTGACAAGCCTGTTTCTCTTTCTTTGCATTGCTTATGCTTTTGGTACGCAGAGGTCCACACTAGTGAGCACTCTTACTTGTAAAACTTATGCTGCGCAACTGCCTCTACTCTTTACCTCAGAGAATTTTCGCGAATTGGTGTATTTTGAGCGAAGGACATAGCGGCTGTGGTGGAGGACTAGATGGTTGCTGAATTTTGCAGTATATTACTTTGCAATTAAATTTTGTTCAGTAGATAGTACATGATAGTTCTGTTATCACAGTGCATCCACGATTTCAGAGGCTTGCGGGCACTTTAACCCGGGAGCGATCAGCCTATCAACTATAGTAGAGGCTAAAGCCGGAAGAAAAAGGTCCATATTAGAAATGCGAGCTTTGATTATGACAGGCCCTACACATACTTCACGCGATATTCGTACGCGATTTGCCAGGCACAACATGCTAGGCTACGGGGCTGGGACTTGGTACAGGGGGTAAGAAAGGGTGCTGATTATTTACGAAATTTCATTTTATCGATTTTATCGATTTTTCGGAAAATTTTGAGTTACGGGGCTGGGAGTTGGTACAGGGGTTAATGAGGGTGCTGATTCAAAAATAAAATCTATTCTATCGATTTCATAGATTTTTGGAAAAAATCTTGAGTTGGGTGTTGGTGTAGGGGATATGAGGGTGCTGATTATGAATGGATCGGCTTTAACCGGATGTGTCAGCAAGTTTCAGATCTGGTTGCTCTATTTATTCGATAAATCATTCTAATTTATTCCAAATTCGACTCTCAATGTTCGAATATAATCGATATTCATTCATTCGATATTTTTGATTTTCCGATTTTATTCGGAATTCGTTCGAGAATTTTTAAGCCTCGAATTTATTCGATATTCATTCATTCGATGAAGATTTTCGAATTTACCCAAGTATAGGGGCGGGGGGAGATGGACAACCGTTTTCACTTCATTGCAATTTTGTTGCTAGAAAAAATCCATACTCTAACTGGGGATGTCATTGAAACCCCATGAAATTTTGACTGAATGGTAACCCTTGATTCATTTGGCTTGGCGGCTAGAAGGCGGGGCTTTGTGTCCAAATTAAGCCCACTCGCGCCCGCGGCGCAGTCTGCGTCTCTCCCGGGCGCATGCTCTCTGATCTTTACCTGGCCTTAAATAGATCACGGAGCCCCACCTTTCAGCCGCCAAGCCAGTTGAATCAAAGGGTATGCTTCATACAGTTTTCCTTGCCTCTTGCAAAAGAAGTGCACCTGCAGTCTCCTTCCTCATCCCTTTCATCCTATCTTCCGCTTTATTCATAATTAAGCTGTCAAATTGTCTGTGTGGACACTTGTGGACATACGCACTTAGAGAAACGGTGTCATGCTGAACAAACTGAACATGCTCGACAATGGCAAACATTGGACGTATAGAGAAGGCGA